TTCGAGTTTCAATCTGAAATTCAGCCAAAATCAAGTCTAATCTTCACCAAAACACCCTCAAAATTGAGATATAAACTCCAAATAATATTCCTAATTGTTTGCAACAACACCAAATCCAAACAAATAATGATTTTTGAAAACCCAAATTCGAATTCAAAGCTTCAAAGTTTTTTAATGGCTGTCAATGGTGGAATTGCTGCTCTCTTTTCATTTGCTCTACATTACTAGAATTAAGGATTAAAAGATAGAGAGAGACGTAGAGAGAATTCTCAATTGTTTGCAACAAGACCCAATTCAAACAAATAATATTTTTTGAAAACTCAAATTCAAATTCAAAGCTTCAAAACTTTTTAATGGCTGACAATGGTGGAATTGCTGCTCTCTTTTCATTTGCTCTACATTACTAGAATTAAGGATTAAAAGATAGAGAGAGACGTAGAGAGAGAGAGAGAGAGAGAGCACGAGAGAGAGAGAGAGAGAGAGAGAGAGAGAGAGAGAGAGAGAGAGAGAGAGAGACGGAGGGAGAGAGAGAGCGCAGGAGGGAGAGAGAATAAGAAATAATTGATTCCTAATATAAAGGGATACCCATTTAATTCATAAAGCGTATATAATTGGTAAATTTATATATAGGATGTAATTAAATTGAAACTTGAATAGGGAAGGTAACAAAGTTTCAAATAGTGTATAGGAATGTAAAAATTCCTTAGTGAAAACCTTATATTTGTCTTAAGAAATATATTGAATAAGTACAAATTCTTACTTAAGAACCCAATAATAAAAAAAGGCTAGAATCCCGAACCCAAGATCTTGAAATTCTAATTCCGTCTCTATTATAACTAATATGAACCTGCGTGGAGATGGGCAGGTCCCTGTCCTGTCGAGTTATCACTATTAAACTTCACTTGACATCAGTACGTGTTGAGAATACTGTAACTGAGAAAATCACCTCTTAGTTTACACAAGAAATGCTATGTCTTTGTATACAGAATGTATAACGGAAGAAGGAGACGCCACTTTTCGATTACTATAAGTGTAAATATTACAGACAGTGAAGTGTCACAAGTCATGCAGAAACAGGCAATACGTACAAGAAAGAGATCCAAACTGTAACTGAATAAAAGCCATGCATAGACGAACCAATCCAAATTTCGAAGAACAACTGGCTAACCTAAAACGGTAACTTCTGAAAATTGAATCTCTAAGCCTTCTTAAAAAATGATAGAATATTCCCTTGCTTAGGATCCTTATTTCCTGTTTTTTTGTTTCCTTCTTTACCTGCTTGACGCGTAGGTGCAGTACTTGCCAGTGCGGGAGACTTCTTAGCCATGGGTGGTCTGAAATGAACCATAAGTTAGGTAAATACACAGTATAACAGTTTACAAAGTAATATTAGAAGACTGCTAACAACCAGAAAGGAAGCAAAAAAGAGGATGATTAGAAAAGGCTCAAAAATGGGGAAAAAAGGTAATAAGTGCGACTGAAAGATTGCACGTTAACGAACTGACAGTCTATCATAAAACATAGAGGCTGTTTCTATGTGTTCAACTGCACCCAATAATGTACTACGTATGTATGTGTGTGCGCGCACCAAAACAACTAAAATTTCACTAAATATTAAATTTTGAGCTCATAATGTAAAAGTACAATGAAATAAGTACTAAGAACTTTAAATGTTGATTCAAACCTTTAGCCAAGTTACTCGAAAATATATGGAATTCTTTCATACCCATTTCACACATAGCTTGGCTGATTCTTAGGCCACAAAATAGATGTAACACTTGTTCAACATTTGTACATGAAAGGTGACAGTAACCATGACTCAACATCATCTTACTGGAAAAAAATGCAGGAACGCTTTTGTATGTTTGTCTAATTAGCTTCAACGCTCTACAAGCCTCTCTAACATGGACATTAAATGTTGTTAATGTCATTTCTTTTAACATATTAGGACTTGGAAAGCCACATAAGAGCAACCATGTGTACTATAGCGACATCCGTAAAATGATTGAACATGAATGTGTTCACCTGTCACCAGTACTTTTAACTGGTTTGTTGTCAGCTTTCTTCATTGTATTACTGTCAGCATTTGTTTCTCCATCTTCACCCTCCCAAACAACCTCGGTCACTGGAAAGGGTAAGCAAATGAATTAGCGCAGAGACGAAAATCATTTAGGAGATTATATTAGCATATTAAGGCACAGAATTTGGCTACTCTTGAGTAAAGAAATTAGTAGAGAGATCATCATATCTAGGTGAAAGGAAATGAACATGCATATCATGAATAAGAGAATATCAACTCAAAAATAAAAATCCTTCAATGATGGAACAGGATCTGACAAAATATCAGTGCAATCTTCTTGGATGAGTTAACTACTTTGCTCATTAAGAAATGATCTTTTATTCACTAGGAGCTTTCTTAAGACTGCTCTAGAGGGCCTGAAAAGCAGCAATCGAAGGGGTCATGACTACACATAAAGTTTTCGATGAAGAATAATAGAAATGCATTATTAGATGCCTTTAATTTTTAATTATCTTAGATCATAGGGTAACACATGTATAGTGAGGAAAGTTCGACTTTCACTTTTAACCTCCTTCCCTCCATTGCATGACCCTAACCCAAGTTTCAAATAGTTATACTTAATTTAGACAATTGAATTTCATCATAACTCATACCTTCTCTTCCACGTTCGTCAATTCGTGTCTTCAATACTTTTCTCCTTTTAGGGGAAACTGGAGCAGCATCTGCCATTTCATCCTTTATAGTTGCATTCTTAAGACTGGCATGTTCTGAAATCATCTCTGAAGAGGACAACTTAGACTTCTCCGATTCGCTGGTAGGTAAAGGTTCTCTTTCTCGTTCATGATTCTTGGTGCCAGCCTCCTTTGCCTTCTTGACTTCCTGCTTTTCCAGTTCTAGAGTACTAGGACTTTGTTTTGATCCTAAAATCGATTTCTGCTTTGGAGGATCAGGTGATGCTAGGTTGACGGCATCCTTGAATTCATCTTCTTCATCCGAAAAATCAAAAATTACCCTCCTCTTTCTATTTCCCTCACCATTTGATGTTCTCCTGATGCTGACTTGTTGATCATCATCATCGCTGACCCTATCTTCTACTCCTTCCGGAGTACATATTTGAGCCGCATTACCTAAGTAAACATTTGTTCCAAAGGAAAGAAGTGGTCAGTCAAGGACCAGAACAAAACATAATACCAACTTCAATGACAAGCGACCAAACAGCCAAAGGGACAAACCAGCAGGATTTGGTGTGGCATCACTGGTAGCAGCTGCAACACTGTCGGCTTTTGGCTTTGTGGATACACGACCCCACATATTAGCCAATGCCCCGCCATTTTTAGCAGAACTTTTGTCAGACTGAACTGCCTTCTTAGCAGCCGGCAGTTGAGCAACTTTGTCTTTTTCTGCAGCAAGCTTACTACCCTGTCCAGGACCTGATGTGCCACGACTCTCACTTTTGGCATCAACCACATGCGAAGATGGCAAACTGGCGCTAGGACTTGGTAGTTGAACCTTTTTCTGATCAGGTTGCGCTAGGGCAGTAGAGTTACTTTTACGAAGTCCTAATGCTGCACTTTTCACTTGAGGAACAGTGGTAGTGCTTGGAATTGTTCCTCCACCATTGCGCTTGACGAAAGGATTTGAAACTCCACAAAACCTGCAATACTAGTGACCATTAGAAAGGGAATCAACACCACCCACCACATGTGCATATCATAATATGGATTGCCTAACCACCTTGTTGAAATAATGAATACTTGTCAAAATTCTTAATGATTTGCATATCAAGGGTGTGAAAAATAATGTCCACTCCAAAGCAATGATAATGGTTTAGATTTGAAGACTCTGAAATATAAGTCTTATACCTATTATCAAGCAAACAATTATCAACTGAGAGGGGCAGCCTGAAGAGCTCTTCGGCCTGCACAAATTCAGCATTCCAGAGGGCCACTGGATCCTTTGGGATGCAAGCTTGCACACTATAGACCTGAACTGAGCAATCGTCCGAAAATTCTTTCTTGGCTTCTGCATAGAAATTAGCCAGTTTAGCTTTGATAATAGTTGCAACAACTTGCCACAGAAACCAAAGCGTATGAATAACAAGTAGGAAGATATAAAACTTTACTTCCAGCATATCTCCATCAAAATGACACACTCAGAAAAGCTTAAAGCAAAGGTAAAACAACAATTCTAACATGCTAGCTTTAATCAGCCAAAGGTCAACTTCTCATAAGTGGGTGTGGATAAGAAAGCTGCAAACAACTTATGTAAGAAAGAATCCACTTAATGCATTCTTCATTCAGAATTGATTGATATACCCAACCGGTTTTGATGTCATGAAACTGGAAATAATGAATTGGATCAAGGGCATCGATCTATCATCGTTCCGTGTGACCAACGACAAACTTATAGTCTCAAATTCTTTATCTTTGCTATTAATTTCTTGCAGGATCAACAGACCCAAAACTACTAGCTAGATCTGAACAGAATCTCCAACCACACCAATAAAGCCCCACTTTAAAGCTTGTTTCACTTTTGGGGCTCTAGATGTATCAGAATGCAGATATTGTCATTAGTATGAGCTGAACCAAGTACCAAGCTTCTGAATGTGTAGCATTCTTTCACTGCTAAACAGTCAAAGCAAACTTAAGAACCCGGTAATAATAGAAGAGAAATCTTAGACTTGTATGTAATATTACGAGAGCTATGTTCTCCTATGGAGAAAACCTTTTTTTTTTTTACCTAAAATAACTAACTGATAATTCTAATATGAAAAAGAGAAGTGGCATCAAGAAGATACCTATCAGTCTTCAGACATATAACAAAACAATGAGGTTATGAGGCAACTAACGGGAATTTTGTTCAGCTATCAGCCCCCAATCTTGGCTTGAGAAAGTTTTGAAGTTTATATATCAGGAACATTCTCCATATGGTTCCAACTAAGGTGCTAACTTGGTAAGAGAATGAAAATAATAATAATAATAATAATAATAATAATAATAATAATAATAATAATAATAATAATAATAATAATAATAATAATAAAAAGATCGGAAGAGGGGGCAATGAGTTCAGCTCGCTCCAATGCAAAATGTATAGAGCTTATGCCCGGTCAAACAAATTCTTTTCATTACGAAGTGACATTTAAAAGGACATCCAACCTGCGAGGTTAGGAGCAGAGACAAGTCTTATATGGTAGGTTGAAGGGCTAGTTTTCAACCAGCCAGACAAGCTGTAGACCACCTCAAAATCATTTCCCTGCTTTTCGACAAATTCCTGAAGCAACCTGTTGTAAACAAGCAACTAGCCTTAGCATTACAGGATGGACAAACCAAAACATACCTTACTGGAGAATTCATTAAAAGCTTACCTCTTTGCAGAATCTGATGACACCAGAAAATTACGACTCAGCCACTTGTATGAAACCTGCATCCCAACAAATATAGAAGTTTAAATGGTTACCTTCCCCCCTCCCCCAAAATGAAGTCCTGTGACTTTGCTTGGGTAACTAGTCATTGCTATTATAAGCAGAATGCAGAATTAGAGTATAAGTTAGTCAAAGGGATAACAGAAACAAAAAACCAAGTCTTTGGCGAACTAGAAATTCTTGTTACTAGACATGGAACTTTTACTTTGACGGCTGACAGAAGAACTTCTATCTAGAATAACTTCTGCATATTTAATCTGCATTTCCGTTTCACCAAAGGAAAAGAACAAAGACGTAGTTAAAAGAAACTCGAGTGTCCATACTATGTAATGATCTTCAATTCATGTACCTAAAGTGACATCTGCCCCCAACCCCGCTGATGCAATCCTAGACGATGCAGCAGCTAAGATGAAGCAGAAGATGCAGAGATGCTGAGCTGGCAGACGTGGTTAGAGCATTGCTAAGCTAGATCAGTTTGTCGAAGATAGTTAGGGTTGTAACTGAATTTGTGAAGTCAGTTTGTTAGTTAGTTACTATTCTAGTTGAGATGCTAGTGATTCATCTTGTAATTGATTCCATTTTACTTCAATCTGTATATATACACAGTGGTAAAAGGTACATTTGGGATTCATCAAATGAAATACAACTTCTCTCTCCTCTCTAAACTCTCTAGCTTTTTCAGCTAGAATTCTCGAATTCATGATCTAGCTTCCATCTTCCTCAAGCTATAGCTCCTGGATTGTTCCTCATTCATTTGTTGTGTGTGTATGCATCACCCTGGACGTACC